TGCTAAAAAGTATGGATACAGTTAAATATTTCCAGAACGGTGTATCAGAACTCATTGCAATTTGGCACACTTGTAAAAATATTTGAACTCTATCCTCTGAAATATTATGATTTTTTTAAATAGCAGCAGGGGTCAAATTTAATATTTAAAAAAGAAACATTTTTTCCTGCATTCAGTAATGTTACAAATACTTTCCTTTATTTGCACTGAAAGGTAAAAAAAATATTAAAATAATACAATTTGGAAAAATATTTATTTTTTTTTTTGTTATTTCAGCCAGATGTGTTATTTTTACAATTATTATTAACTTTTATTTGACGCACACTTGGTAAAGAAGTAATAATAATAGGTAAAGGCAATATTTCCTAGGCCAAATAAACTTCCCATTTTTCAAATTGTATTATTTTATTTTTTTTTTTTTTTAGTGTCAATAGAGAAAGACATAAGTTACATCACTGAATGCAGAAAAAAATTAAAATTATTAAATTTGACCCCTATTGCCATTAAAAAAAAATCAAGTTGATCTTGTATCTCCAAAACAAATGTTGATGGAAATATTAGTAACATTTCAGAGGATGGAGTTTAAATACTTCCGTTACTAGACCGTTCTGGAAATATTTAGCTGTATCCATCCTTTTTAGCAAACCTGTAGAAACACAGGGGTGGTTGTAAAAGATCTCATATCAAGTTGGTTTTGGAAAGTTTGGCATTGCGGGGACACTCGTTGAAATTATACCATGAAAATTATAAAACTAAATGGCGTCAAAATTTTCTGACCAACCGAGTCTTCCGGATCTGGAACGGCTTAGCCGTAGAAATCGTTGAAGCAACTACAACTGCTTCCTTTAAAAACAAACTGGGTATATATTTGTACCAGTCATCTTAACACCCATCTGACACCGGAACTCTTCCTATGTGAGAAGCAGTAGTAAATTGTAGTTGCTGGAAAATTGTTTTCGGCGGATGGGCATAATAGGCTCTGCCTCTGCCCAACGTTTTCAATAATAATAATAATAATAAGAATTCCTTATTTCATCAAAGAATTTGTTAGAATCCAAAAATCAGATCAGTAAGACTGTTGTGGTTATCACATGCTTTAATTGCATTTAAATAAGGATTGTTGAAAGTAATGGCCATTTATCTGCAAGTATTTATTTTCTCACACTTAAGAAAGTTAGGTTATGATTGCCATTTATGACAGATGACGAGAAGTCGTCATCCATCAGAACGATGCGGAAAAATTACTTTACTAAATTTCAACACCAACTTAATGTTACGATTTTTTATAGTCACCTTGTATGTGGTTATAAATTACTTTTCGACAAGACAAATTATTTTGGCGAAGGAAATAAATATCATTTATATTCTTGTATCTGCACCTACATTCCACCTTCTTCTAGTTAATAATAAAATATTTGTTTATACATACATACGTATGGTGTGCGCGTTGTACTGATTTAGCAATTGGATTGATTAAACACACTCGTCTTTGTAGTATTTAAGTATCATTAAAACAGCATTAGGGCGTCAAGGTTTTCATTTGTAACTTCGTGTGATGTAAAATATGCATTAAATTAATTCATTAATGTCCTATATATATTACACTATAGGTTATAATACGATATATTTATAATTATACCTACGTATACATATATACAGTTTGAAAAAGAAATGCCACTTTTTTAAATATCTTTATCATTATTGTTATTGAGTTACGTTATTTTTCTCTCAAGCTGTATTTCTGTTTTGAGCGAATTGTTTGATGAAATCAGGTTTATCACGTCATTAATTATTTTCTTATTGTGCCAATACTGCATTTTTAGGGAAGAGTAGTCTTCATGTCTTCTTAACTGAGAGAATCTAGGAACTAGATATTTTTACTTTTTTAATTTTCTGTCGCTTGTTTGGTAGGCAAATTATAGAATAGAGTAGTAAAATTGATTTCTACCGCTTTTTTTAAATGTTGATGTCCAAACGATTCCCAAAGCCCGCCGAAGATTTTTGATCCATTTCCAAAGCCACAAGATAGTAGAAGTAGAATCAATAAACCAATAGGAAAAAATCTAAAACATACTACAGGTGATAAGTTCAACCCAATCTTTAATTTTTCAAAACAGAACATGTTTCCAAAATTTTAGTGTTTATGATCGCTAAACTATTTATGTCGTGTGAATTTGCCTAGAGGGACAAAGTTTAAAAAAGAGGATGAAAGCACGAAAAGGGTTTTAGAGTAATACTTACTATATACTTATTAATCATTAATTGATTTTCCTTTCTGTTCTGTACGGGTATGTAAATAAGTTCTACGCCATAACATTTCCTGTAAAAAGAACCATGTTGAAATATTTTCAAAACTACATCCTTACTTAAAATTGTTTTCCTTTTTACTTCCCAAGCATAAGCTAAGGAAGTGATGGAGTCTATCGGGCGAATGGTTACTTTCATGTTTTTTCGGCGTTTCGTGAGTCCCTAGTGTACGAAATATATGTCTAGCATTTCAGTCTGTCTGTCTATCTGTCTGTCTACAATTTGCCCAAATTTTTATGAGACAAATAATCTACGAAACTACTGGACTAACTGTTGTCAAATTTTATAGGCATATTAAGAAATCGTTTAGATGGTAAAACGCTGACCAAAATTTGGCTAATCATCCCCACCAACAATAGGAACATGTCATCTCCAAAATTTATATTAATAAGTGTTATTTAGATTTTATAAAATAGTCGCCCTCCCCCAATTGATTTCATTTTACAATTTTGCTGAATAAATATTCTTTAAATTTTATAGAATTAGGTTAATCCTGCATGTGTAATTTATGAATCCGGGTTCAGCTTTTACTTCAGATTTTTGGAAAAAAAAAAACAAAATTGTTAACAACATTTTACAATTTAACTTTGAAACTGCAAATCCCAATGCACATAATCCTGAAAATATTTTAAGGTTATTGAAATCGTTGCAAATGGTTATTAAAAATGTTTACGTTTATGTCCTTCCGCCACTGTTGTCGTCACTTTACAATTTTGCCGAATAAATGTCCCTTAAAAGTTATAGTTGTCGGCATCCAGATTTAACTTTGAAATTGTAAAACGGAAATGCTGTGGAATCTTTCAAATATTTTAAAATTATTAGAAGTATGATCAATCGTTAATCAAAATGTTTACTCCTCCCCGCAAAAAAAAAATACGACATCATCTTACATTTTTGCCGAATAAATGTACCTTAAATTTATGAGTGTTTACGCTAGACATCCACTTTTTTAGGAAAAACTGAGTTTGATCAACTAATTAGTCTTCTATTCTGCGTCGAGGAGTCCATTAAATTTCATTTTCTTCTAATCTGAACGTGCTAATAAATGAATTCAATACTTATCTATCTTTATAGTAGTTCAAGTGGTCAATTATGTAATAAGCGTAATACAATGCTTTTAAAAATTGGTTTTCCAATGATCTATATCAAACTTTTTGTTTTGTTTGCAAAATACACCTAGAAATGTGTAAAATATTAACATAGATTATTTTGTTACTATTATCTTTAATGCGTTTTAACTGTCACTTTGAGAGTATTTCGTCGTAGAATTTGGCTTTGGTATTGATTCAAATGTATCAATTTTCAGACTTGCTTATAAATAAAGGGCTAGAGTATTATTTATGTAACCATAAAATCGTATTTTATTGGATGGGTAGGTGAATTCAAGGGTTAGTCATCTTAAGGTACAATAATATTTTTGCGACCACAAAATAAAATTATCTCAAAATTTTGCCAACAAATTCTATCTAAAATATGCACAATAATAAACATACTCCTTTACCTGCTCTTTTACAATCCACTGTTTTATTTTTAAGTAACGGGGTTTATTATAACAAAAGAATAAAATTTGCACAAGCAAATTATCAATTTCTTGTCGTTTGAGAATTCCAAACTTTTTCATAGTATATTCATCGTCATTAGTTTCGAGTATCTGTTATTATCAATTTTTTCCAGATGATTTTGATAATTAAACTTCTGCACTAATTTATTGTATTCTTTTATCTTCTTGCTTGTAGTCTAAACGAAGATTTAAATAGCTAATTTTGTTCACGAAAAAATAGTTCATGAACATTTTGTCAAAAATGCAAACTTTTGACCTGTAATGCCATTTACAAAATAAAAGACCGCTTTTATCACAAGAACTTTATTTTAGTACAGGATGTACACTTCACTCGAACTTCTTCAGCAGGATATTTTTGAAAACTGACGATTGACGTGTTGCTTTTGTTACCAACGTACCCATAAACGAAACACTAATAATTTTGACAGTTTTTAAAATCAAAATAGTGTTACAAATTTTATAAACAGATCTTCGGAACATTAATATGTTGCTTTACATATGCTGAAATTAAAACATTTATCTTTCGGAAAAATTACTAAATAAATCTTTGTGGTTGTGCTTCAGGAGTGAGGAAAGTTCTGTCTAAATATTTTTACACGAATTTTTCTACATGTTTTCCAAAACTTCCCCATATGTTTTAAAGAGGAAAAATGAAAATAAATCGTATAGATAAATGTTGTTAGCAGCACATTGTAGTGTTTAGTCAAATGTTTAGCACCTGCTACTGTAGACTCTTACTCATTTCAAGATAAGTATGAATAACGATGTGATTCGTTTTACTCCTATTATTCTCCATGTTCGACTATTTTACTTCACCCTCATAACTTCCGTAAAGAAGACGTTAAAAATAAATGTACTTTTCCTGGTACAAAATTGGAAAGTATTCACCAACATCCTGATTTATGTATTGCGCAATAAATAAAGTTTGTTTTCCTTCTATCTTACCTTCGAGTTATAACCACCAGAGGAGATTGAGTTTCAAACCCGTATTGCCTTTTTGTGATTTTCTGAACACTTTTCATTCTCCAAAGTAAATATATCGAACGAAAATAACCCGTGCTTAAGTAGGCAGCGTGCAGATTAGAACTCAATTAGATTGATCGACCATTTAAAAATAAACTCTCGATTGCAGTGGTGGTGGATCGTTGAGTTGTCTCGTGGTCGAATCCGATGGGGGCTGCTACTCAGCAATGCCTCCGACAGCCATGAGGCTCGAGAGCCCTCCCTGCAACAATAACAATAATAACGCATCTGGAGCCGAGCTTGAACTGTTAGCCAAGCTGGAGGAGGCCAACCGTCTGTACGAGTCCGACGCCAAATCCCTCAACTCTCTGAGCGGGGCGTCGGGGCACTCGAGGAAAAGCTCTGACACATCGCAGATATCCCTGACGTCTGGTAAGCTAATGACCATTTCGGCGGAAACTTTGTGACCGCAAATTGATGTGCTTGCAGGCACTAGCTCCTCGCAGGAACGCCCGGAAGATTGCGGCGAAGAGGATCTTTGGACCACATGGGGTACGATAGTTAATGACTGGGAGAACAACTGGAAGAAACAAAATGTGCAAATTAAGGAATTAGTTCGCAAGGGGATTCCGCTTCATTTTAGGGCTATTGTGTGGCAGCTGTTGTGTAGTGCGGCCGAAGCGCCGGAGAAGAAGTCGTATGCTGAATATATAAAGGTATGTGCTTTTTTCTCCTTTTACAACTACGAGATTATTTTATGAAAACACTTGATTATAATATTGGCTTACTGGCAATGATGGACACTCTGAATATTAAAAAACAGTAGAAGTAATAATAATAATAATAATAATAATAATAATAATGGTTTACTTAATTTAGAAATAATATTAAGAAGGCACAAGAAAGGAAATTGCGTTAATTACTTGAGACAAATTTTAAGAAATAGACGCTTGGATGTTTACTAAAGTGTGATTAGATACTATTAAATGACCTCTTATACATAAAATATCAAGTTTTAAATTTTGCGCAAAAAGATTGAAAATTCCAACTCCTCAACTAAACAACTTCTGAAATTGTACGAAACACCTCAGTGTTTAGTACAATTAAGAAGTTACAAGTAGAAAAATTTGCAAAAAAAACCGTTTACATCTAATTTTTAGTTTAGGTAACAGAATGTCTGCAAAAATGATTATTATCCTTTATAAGAAGGCACAAGCCACCAAATTTAATTTTTGAATTCTCGACATCTCAATGGTCTGATAAAACAAACATTAAAGTGGCTTGGTCAAAATTCAGTAAAAATTGTAGCAAAAGACGATTACCTGCCAGACTGTTCAGAGCTTTACCCAATCGAAAAATATTATTATTATTATTATTATTATTATTATTATTGCACGCTCGAGCAGAGAGCTCACACTCTGTTATGCCCGCGTGAGCAACAATAGTTCTTAACTTTATTAAATTCAACAAATACAAATATTACAATTCAAATAGTTTACATATTCATAAAATGATCAAAATTTTTCTTGAAACTAAGTACACTTGGGCTGCACACAACTTGTAATGGGAGAGAGTTCCATGTGTCGAAAATACGGTTCGAGAAGAAAAACTGTCGGGTTCTGGTGCGAAACGCTTCTTTCAGGAGCTTGAACTGATGACCTCTAGTACGCACATCAGAATTCAAAGTAAACATGCTGTTCGTCGGAGGAACATTTAATATGAGTGCAATAAATGTTGCAATGGCGTCTCCTCTTGTTCTTCTTTGACCCAATGCAGGGCATTTCATGATTACGAGTCTCTGTTCATACGATGGTCGCAAAATGCCATAAGGTAATCGAGTCATACGCCTCTGAACGCCTTCTAACAGATCACTATCCCTAACTAAAATTGGATACCACACTAAATTAGAATACTCCAGGATTGGCCTTACATATGTTTTGTGTAGTTTTGCAACTGTGTCATGGTCAGGATTTTTAAACGTACGTCTTAATAGATATACCATTTTGTTGGCTTTACTTACTATTTTAGCGATATGTTGTGACCACGTTAAATCGGTGGTAATTGTTACTCCTAAGTCGTTCTGTGCATCTACTTTAGTCAGTGGAACACCATATATGAAGTAGTCAGCTCTGGGATTATGGGGGCCAATGTGCAAGACAACACATTTGCTAATATTCAAAGGAATGAGCCATTTTTTACTCCACTCCGTCACAGCTAATATATCCGTCGCAATTACATTTAGTTTACAGGACGAGTTATAGATTTTAAAATCATCAGCATAAAACGCACATGGTGACCGAATATGCTTTCTTAAGTCGGCTGTGTATACAAGAAACAGGAGGGGTCCCAATACAGAACCCTGCGGAACACCACTATTAGGCTCATATCATGAATTTATGCACGCAGAAAATTTAGGGGAACGTTTGCAGCCAGTTATTTTATGCCATTTGCATAAATTTAATTAGTACCGAGTTTGTGCAACAATCAATGAAAAATATTACAAGAAAAATCAAAGATCTTAATCGATGTAGGTTATTATAATAATTTTATTTATTTTTCGTACTCCCGTAGCTCAGTTGTTTAATATTTACTACTTGCAGAATTGTTAAGATATTTGGTGAACAACATAATTTGTAATCGAATCATCTTTGGAAAGCACTCAGCATGTCTCTGATTGTTAAAACCCTTTGTACACTGTGCAAGTGAATTTTTCATCATTTTTAAAATTAGGTCACAACTTGTGGTAGTAATCTCAGTAGTAATCTAGTATCCTCGTGCAAGTAGTAGAAAATAAATGGTGAAATCTGTTCGTCTTTTAATCATCAATTCATCATATTAATTGGTTTTTCGAGTTAAATTCACGCACACCAATAGAGACGGTTGAAGGTCGCACAGTAAATTTTATCCTTCGATCCGGATGAACATTTTAATCCTTGAACTTTCGAACAGTGATTAAATCACTCTGATAGATGTCAAAAAATGGCAAATCTAAAAGAAAAAATATCGGAGATTTGTAATAAGATCTTTAAGAGAACTATGAAGTTACGATCTACGATAATTAATAAATGGAATGAAATTTGATTAAAATTACAGTAAATGCTTAAAATGTTGTCCATTTTGTTGTAAGTATAAATGATCTCTTCGTTTAACTTCATCGATCACATGCTTCAACATCTCTACATTATTGTTTATGTCATTAATTTCTTGTGTAATTCTTAACCTTAATTCCTCCCAATTGTTAACAGGTGTTCGATAAATAGTGTTCTTTAAATAGGGCTATAAAAAAGTCTGCAGGTGTAAGATAACAAGGTTTGCGGGGCCAGATATTCTCTGTGTTTCGACTAATTATCTGATTCTCAAAAAATTTATGTAACATTGCTATTGTAGTCCTAGTCGAATGCGCTGTAGCCCCGTCGTGTTGAAAATAGCCTACGTTTATTTCATCGCCGTGAAGTTGTGATACAAAAATCGGCCGGAATTTCTTGCTGAAATCTTGCATTGGTTAAGTTACCTTGGAAAGCATTATATTGAATAAGCCAGATAATCACATGATCATTATTGTCATGATTACCTTTAAAGAATCTAGGCCTTACTATCCGTATTTGACTAATTGAAGCTAATCACTAATTTTTGGGGGATGAAAGGGAGTCTTAACATAAACATGTGGATTGTCGATGCTCCCACCGTCATAAGTATTTTTAAAATTAATGTATCCGCTCAAATGAAATCAGGTTTCGTGTGTAAAATGTATCAAAAAACCCCTGACAATAGTCAACCGTAGCAGAATATCGGCTTCATCTAATTCCTACACACATGTATTGTGTATGTATCCAAGTATTAAAGTCACAGCGAGGTTGATTATTAAATTAACAAAAATTTAAACCAGAGTAAAAAATCTGTTTATAGGCATAGTAGTTTTTCCCTTTTGTATGTCTATTTCAAATATTATGTCTAGAAAATTATCGTCACTTATAATTAATGCAAATTATGTACTCGTAACTTGGCTGGTACAAGTTTTCTTTAAGATACAAATTCCTAACTATATATTTTTCCGAAATTAAAAATCCACCAACACCGCAATTTTTTCGAAAATGCAGCTACCAATGTTGTCAGTGTCAGTTGTAGTGATTTTTCTAGTGTCCAATAATAATTTAAGGAATTTGCAGTTACTGATGCGCATGGGAGAAAACCGAAATATGTCAATCTGACAATATTGTTTTTTTAAAGTCCGTGAAAACGTCCAGAAATAGTCAAACAAGGCAACGGAACGCCAAATGATTTATTGCCGCAAAGATCCAAAAAGACTTTAAAACATTTTATTCGCAATTTATAGAATGAAGGTGTAAAAATAAGATTAACAACTTTTGACAAAATGTTTTAAATTTTTATTTTGACGAGATTTAAAACAAAAATTTAGAAGTTTATGAGCTCAGTTTTAAAACCTACATTATCTGTTAAACATAAAATGAACGTATTAGCAAAATATCCCAAATTATCCGCCTTATTGAAAAGATAATCTGGAAGATATGTAGCGGGAGTTTCACTGTCACAAAATGTGAAACGCCTTTTATTGTAACCCTATTTTTTAGTTTTGTTATTTTTGACACTGCGGGCATGCTGACACTGACTGCGACGTCACAAATGTTTTAAACATCGAAGTGACAATAATGCATAGACCGTGCGTCAAAATTTTCAAAATGACAGGAAAACGAAAGAATTTATGACTCCGATTGTTTATACCTAAAAGGCTAAAACATTTTCAACAAATAAAATAAAGCAATTTGTTTGAGAAGCCCCAGATGCTAAATATTTAAACAAAAACAAAACAAAAATCCACCGTACCTGGGAAAGCGTTACGAAATATGCAAGAAGTACTATGCCAACCAATAAATTTAGGGCACTAGTTGACTGTCGCGTTAAAAATTTGAATATAGTTGGAGTGTTATTGTCATTATGTCATTAAGCAGGACACACGTCAACCTGACATTTAAAAGTTAATGTTTGAAAAATGCGCAGTTAATAAAATTGACAAACAAAAAAATAAATGTTTTATATATAAAAATAATAATTAATGTCTGCTTTAGAACTAATGACAGTGAAATGATACTAATGCTCGAAATCTATTGTTGAGCACTATACAGGGTGAGGCAGCTACAAGGGGACACCTCGAATAACTTTTTATGAACCTAAGTACGTTAATGGAATTTACTTCATAAATAAATATGAATGATAATACGTATGTATCATATGAAATCTTGAATGAAATCACAATAATTTTTAAAAATCGTAACAATTTTTTTTAATTTGTCTGAATTTTTATTGCACTATAAAACTGAGAAAAAAATACTCCGTATGTTCAATATTTATTATTTGTGATACGTTTTATTTGATTTAATGAAATAGTATTTTCTTAAAGCATTTTCTACGTTTTGTTTTCTAAACACGGTTTTACGTAAGCAATAAAGCATCTAATGTTAATTAGCCAATAACACGTGACGTCACGCTGTGGCGGGAACTCAGCGTTTGACAAGCGCCGTGAAACTCCATAAGTGGCAATGTTAACATTTTCGCATTTCATTTAAAAGTGTAGGTATTTATCTAGAAAATAAACACGTGAATAGCTTCTTTCATATCTTTTCTGTGTATCAGGGTGCTTTTTTTGGCGATTTGAGTTTAAAAATACATAATAAAAATAAAAATACAGAACGCTGTTTTG